GTTCCCATCAATAATCCCTCACACTTCCAAAATCTGACAAGTTTGGCAATAGGAAGAAAATGAAGGAAATGTTGATGAAAGAGTTTCTATCGTTTGGAAAATTGCTTTATAAAAATTAAAGTGTCCCCTCTGGAATTCCCTATGAGGTATCCTTTACAGTTATCTAAAGCAAATGTAGTTTGATCACAGTGCAATTCTGTCCCAATTTTTGCTCTTACTTTCAGTATCCTAACTTTTTCCAGCTTATGTCTTATTATTATTTTTTTATTATTATGTGATGCTTTCTTAAGGAAAAGAAACCCTCTAATATTTTTCTTTATCTCTGTGTATCTGTGTTTTATAAATCTTGGAGAATCAAGTCCTGATCATTTTGGAAGTCTCGTGGCATGCTCCAATTTGGAGTGATTGAACTGTTTTGCAATTTAGTGGGGAAAAAGGAAACAGTAAAAAAAATTGGCTGATACCAGTCTCCTTACTTTGTAATTCTCAGTTTTCTTGTATTAGGGGATAAATATCAATAAAATCCCATCTTACCAGATTGCACCAGCATTGTCCTAAACATTCTAATTTTTCTTTATTTTTATTTCTTTATTTATTTTGTCTTTTAAAAACAGGAAATGTTCTTGGGTTGACATACCTCTCTTTTTAGTTTCATTTGCCTGACTTGCCACACTGGCATGCTCTCTCACAGCAGCATGGCCACTGCTGTGGTCGCTTTCCGTGGAGGTGGTTGAAGGTTAGGGTCCGGAGGAAACGTGACCCAAAAAGGGAGGAAAAAACCCTTCATTGGGCCAAATCTAGCTCCTAATACATTTAACCAGTTCCAGAATTAGAAAGCTTTCTGCACATTTTCTTCTATTTTTCTCTCTCTTTTTCCTTACGTAATGAAATTAAAACTTTTGGAGCCCACAGTTGACATTTTTCAGAAAATTGAGTTATCAAGGCAGTAATTATTTCACGGGGAGATAAAACTCTCATAGCCCTAACTGTCAAATAGGGCCCTTTTCAGATTTTAATTACAAAATAAAATTAGTCTGCTCTTCCTCAGAATGGTTTGTGAGTGGTTAAACAGAGCTTTCCCCCCCAATACTGGTGGTCGTCGTCAAACTCTTCTAATTAGCAATGCTGAGAAATTCCAGTTAACAAGGACATTCTCCAAGACTCTGCAGGTTCCCTGCCGTTTGCCTTCATTTCCATAAGAAGATTAAGAGAGGAGGGGAACACACTCAAATGCAGATGCAGAAAAGAAGCGTTTTTTTTTTTTTTTTTTTTTAACAAGCATCATAATAGTAAGATGCTTGGCTAGTTCTCACCTAATTACTGCAAGTTAAACCTCTATTTGCCACTAAGAAGAAAAAATAAGTCTGCAGTCCCCTATCCACAAAATTGTTAGTTGGCTTCAGATATAATACTTAAGAAGGGATGAGGGGAGTTTAGGAGAAAAATAGCAATGCAAAAGATTTTTAAATAAAATTGAGCTATACTTAACCAGTTAGGATTTGGGGCTAGGGCCTATAGTAGAACAAAATCAAATCTGAATATCCCAGGAATTAGGCATTTTTATTCTTAATTTTTAATCTTGCTATAAAAGTATGCCTCTTTTTGCTGTCCATAGAAGGGAAAGGTTGCACTCTCTTTATATTAAGCACTTTCCATTTTCATAAATTGTGCCAAAGGCAACATTTTTGGAGGGTGAGCACTCTCTTTCAAGTCTTGTTTTGATTTCCTAGTAGTCAATGGTGTATTGTTATTAGTATTGTAGCCCTGTAGCCGTCTGTTATAAACCTAAAACAGGACTGCTTCTACCATTTATTGTGATTGTTATAGTTATTATATTTAGGGGCCAGTGATAGTGCTGAATTGAAATAGATTGGCCGGTGATCTGATTTTTTAAATGCATAAGTTCTGGGGGAAAAAATCTAATGTGAAAATTGTTTCTGCTATTACCATCTTCTTTAATCCTACTTTCAAACACATTATTATGTATAAACACCAGCCATTGCTAGTTTATTGCCTAGATAAGTACAGCAGGCTTAATTAAAATAAAGCTGTAAATACATGCAACCAATGATAACACAATTGTAATGTACTTCCATAGCTTATTTATATGATAAAAGCAATTAACAAAAGACCTAGCCAGCCCCTTTAACCTCTTAAACGAATTATTATAGAGTTCAGGCACAAACACGTGCATCTGAGAATGTATAAAATCATTTATATATCATCACAAGGAAAAATTTGTGCTTTTTACTACTTACTACCAAGAAAGAGAGAGAAAAAGAGATATTAAAAACATTTGCTTCTATAACCATCCATTATTAATATTTATTTTAATACATATACACCACCATTATCCACACATTTTATCTTCAAACTTAATTATCCATAAGCTTTTTCCTCCTAGTTTTTGGAATGATGCTACTAAGTGCAGACTAATGCATACACAATCATAAAGTGAACGCTTGGTCTGCCCTTCGTGGCGTCTGGACAATCATAATTCATTCATATGTTGAATCTCATGATTTGTACCTCTTTTTCCCATGGTTTAATCTCCCCCTTATCTCGAGGTTATATATGTACATTTGTAAGTTAAGCAAATCAAATCTGACTCTTATGATTTGGTTCAATAGCTTATATGATGTTAACTTCTCTGTTGTTTAGATTACATGTAATTAATTTGATCTTCCTCCCATCCCCCTCATGTTTTTTTTTCTTTATTTCCAAACACTTTCTTTTAAAGGTAAAAGCCATAGTCTTGGAAAAGCGAATCCACCAGTAGGGGGCGTACCAGCCACATCCCTGAAACAGAGACGCACTGAAAAGCCTGTGGCCACCTTCTCCAGATCCATGCAACCTTTTTTCGTTCCTAGTCTTCATGTCCAATATTAAGCTTAATATTACACCTCAAATAAACAGAAGACGTTGTTTTATTTTTGAAGAGTGGCATATTTACGCGTTTCCAGAAGGCTAGTCTCTTCCTTCCCAGGTTCCCAAAAACTAAAAGAAAACAAATCATAATTTAAGAGGAAAATGAGAACCTACAGGAGGGGAGAGGGTCGGAGGTAGGGGTTGATTGGAAGTAATTTATTAAGAAAGTCTGCTGCAGGTTTCTTTTCTCAACTTTTCTAGGTTTCCAGTAAGCATACTTATCTTTAGTTTGACAAGAACAGAAAAGCTTGGGAGAGCAGAGATTTAAGAAGTTGGACTGGGGTTGATGACGGTTATGGGAAGGTTAGTAAGGAACAAAACAACGCCAAGTTTTGTAAAGATAATAAATGGAACGTGGCAGACAGATACTATTCAGTACGTTTTCTCAGAGTGAGTAAGGGTGGATCAGGGGAGGAGGGGGCGGAGAGAGTGTTACAGAAGAAAGAAAATAAGTAACCCTGATGGTTTAAGCCCTTTATAAAAAAGAAATAGCATCAGGGATTTTTTTTTTATCCCCCCCCCCCTTTTGTAGTCAAGTGCATTTTAGCCACAAAGATCCCAACAAGAGAGTGGAAGGAAACTTAGACTGGGCTTTGTTTGACTCCGTGTAGCGACAACAAGAGAAACAAAACTACCTATTTGTAACGGACGTGCTGCCATTGCTCTCCGCATTGAGCGCCTACCTATTGAAATCTTTACGTCGGGACAATGGGAGAGCGGCTAAAATTACCCTCTTGGGTCCTGGGCGGGCAGGATTTCTGGGCCCCTACCCCCGCCCCTACCCCATCCTACTCTAGCCTTGGCCTTGCTGTGCTCCCCCTTTCCCAGTCCTGGCCGCCTTCTTCCTGCCGGCTCTGCCTGCACCTGTGCCTGGTGAGCACCACACATCCTCCCAGATCTAGAGCCCCTTCCGAGTGCAGCCCCTAGACCTAGGCAGACCGGGCAACAAAGTCACTGGGGGGAATGCCAGGGCTCGTTCTGCTTGAGTCCTGGGAACTCTGCGTGGGAGGAAGTTTGTGAGTGCGACCCAAATGCCACCTCCATATACAAGTGCCCTGACATGCCAGGAAGTTGAGCTAACGCTCCCCATAGCCTGCACTTCTGAGCGTCCATCGGCTCAGCTCTTTCATCCCCTAGCCTCCTTTTGAAACCGGCACAACTACAATCCTTCTTTGGGGGAGGCTCAGCAGGAGGATGGGGAGAGAGGACCAGCATCCCCCTTGCGCCGATTGAATGGAGAAAGACTGGTGGGAGATGTGGCTAGAATTAAACTGACAAGCTGTGGTTTCTACCTGAGCTGAGTCTGAGTAGGGCAGAGAAGAGCGTGGTTGCGGCGATTTACCCAGGGCCTGCCTAGCCTCACCTCTGGCCTCGGCCTTACAGTCCGATCAGATTTATTTTTAAAACACAGCAAATTGCGTGGAAGCTAGGAAGGTTTTGAGGATAGAGCTTTCTGTCTCCTAACTTCTAGTCGGGACAGTGTGAGGAGGGGGTGAGCGAGTGTGGGCACCTGTGGAGAAAGAGGGGTGAAGGGAAGAGCTGGGCAGAAGCACTAGAGAGGCTGGAGTTGGGGGAAGTGTGCGGAGGAGCGGGAGAACAATAACACTCCAACTCCAGCACAGCCAGTTTCCTGAAATACTAGTAGGACAGTCGCCCTGAACCACCCACTCTGCCCTGCCCAACCCCCACACTTTAGCTGCTTCTTGCGCCCCTTCCTCATTTCAGCAGCCCACACCAAAAAAAAGTAAAATAGCATTAAGTTTAAAGAAAAAAACCGCAGTCTTAGTCCTGTTTACCCACTTCCTTCGAAAAGGCGTGTGGTGTGACCTGTTGCTGCGAGAGGGGATACAAAGGTTTCTCAGTGGCTGGCAGGCTGGCTGTGGGAGCCGCCTCCCCCTCCCTCTTTCCTCCTCCTCCCCCTGCCTCCCCCGTGCGGCCCGCGGCGCGGCAGGCCCCGCCCCCTTTCATGCAAAACCCAGCGGCGAGGCTGAGCTGGAGTGGAGGAGCCGCCGCACGCTGATTGGTCGCTGGAAACCCATTTATTCCCTGACAGCCCCCGTCACATGGATGGTTGTCTATTAACTTGTTCAAAAAAGTATCAGGAGTTGTCAAGGCAGAGAAGAGTGTTTGCAAAAGGGGGAAAGTAGTTTGCTGCCTCTTTAAGACTAGAACTGTGAGAGAAAGAAGAGGAGAGAGAAAGAAAGGGAGAGAAGTTTGAGCCCCAGGCTTAAGCCTTTCCAAAAAATAATAATAACAATCATCGGCGGCGGCAGGATCGGCCAGAAGAGGAGGGAAGCGCTTTTTTTGATCCTGATTCCAGTTTGCCTCTCTCTCTCTTTTCTTCCCCCAAATTATTCTTCGTCTGATTTTCCTCGCGGAGCCCTGCGCTCCCGACACCCCCTCCCGCCTCCCCTCCTCCTCTCCCCCCGCCCGCGGGCCCCCCAAAGTCCCGGCCGGGCCGAGGGTCGGCGGCCGCCGGCGGGCCGGGCCCGCGCACAGCGCCCGCATGTACAACATGATGGAGACGGAGCTGAAGCCGCCGGGCCCGCAGCAAACTTCGGGGGGCGGCGGCGGCGGCGGCGGCGGCGGAAACTCCACCGCGGCAGCGGCGGCAGGCGGCAACCAGAAGAACAGCCCGGACCGCGTCAAGCGGCCCATGAACGCCTTCATGGTGTGGTCCCGCGGGCAGCGGCGCAAGATGGCCCAAGAGAACCCTAAGATGCACAACTCGGAGATCAGCAAGCGCCTGGGCGCCGAGTGGAAACTTTTGTCGGAGACGGAGAAGCGGCCGTTCATTGACGAGGCCAAGAGGCTGCGAGCGCTACACATGAAGGAGCACCCGGATTATAAATACCGGCCCCGGCGGAAAACCAAGACGCTCATGAAGAAGGATAAGTACACGCTGCCCGGCGGGCTGCTGGCCCCGGGTGGCAACAGCATGGCGAGTGGGGTCGGGGTGGGCGCCGGCCTCGGCGCGGGCGTGAACCAGCGCATGGACAGCTACGCGCACATGAACGGCTGGAGCAACGGCAGCTACAGCATGATGCAGGACCAGCTGGGCTACCCGCAGCACCCGGGCCTCAACGCGCACGGCGCCGCGCAGATGCAGCCCATGCACCGCTACGACGTGAGCGCCCTGCAGTACAACTCCATGACCAGCTCGCAGACCTACATGAACGGCTCGCCCACCTACAGCATGTCCTACTCGCAGCAGGGTACTCCTGGCATGGCGCTTGGCTCCATGGGCTCGGTGGTTAAGTCCGAGGCCAGCTCCAGCCCCCCTGTGGTTACCTCTTCCTCCCACTCCAGGGCGCCCTGCCAGGCCGGGGACCTCCGGGACATGATCAGCATGTACCTCCCCGGCGCCGAGGTGCCGGAGCCCGCCGCCCCCAGCAGACTTCACATGTCCCAGCACTACCAGAGCGGCCCGGTGCCCGGCACGGCCATTAACGGCACACTGCCCCTCTCGCACATGTGAGGGCCAGACAGTGAACTGAAAGGGGGGATTTTTCAAAGAAAAACGAGGGAAATGGGAGGAGAGTAAGAAACAGCGTGGAGAAAAACCCGGTACGCTCAAAACAAACAAAAAAAGTCATCACCCACAGCAAATGACATCTGTCTGCAAAAGAGAACACCAATCCCATCTACACTCAAAAAAATCCGCGATGCCGACAAGAAAACTTTTATGAGAGATCTTGGACTTCTTTTGGGGGGACTATTTTTGTACAGAGAAAACCGGGGGTGGTTTGGGGTGGGGAGGGCGAGGGAATGGACCTTGTATAGATCTGGAGGAAAGAAAACTACGCAAAACTTTTAAAAAGTTCTAGTGATACGGTAGGAGCTTTGCAGAAAGTTTGCAAAAGTCTTTACCAATAATATTTAGAGCTAGTCTCCAAGCGACGAAAAAAATGTTTTAATATTTGCAAGCAACTTTTGTACAGTATTTATCGAGATAAACATGGCAATCAAAATGTCCATTGTTTATAAGCTGAGAATTTGCCAATATTTTTCAAGGAAAGGCTTCTTGCTGAATTTTGATTCTGCAGCTGAAATTTAGGACAGTTGCAGACATGGAAAGGAGAAAATTATTCAGATTTGGACATTTTAATTGTTTAAAAATTGTACAAAAGGAAAACAAAAACCTAGGATATGTACTGGTAAAACTATTTCCGTGGTCTTTAAAGGGGCAAAAGTTTTAGGCTGTACTAAATTTTTTTAACTTACTGTTAAAAACAAAAATGACCATGCAGGTTGACATCATTGGTAATTTATAATAGTTTTGTTTCCCAACTTTCCATTTTGTTCAGATAAAAAAAAAAACTGAAATTACTGTGTTTGAAATATTTTCTTATGGTTTGTAATATTTCTGTAAATTTATTGTGATATTTTAAGGTTTTTCCCCCCTTTATTTTCCGTAGTTGTATTTTAAAGATTCGGCTCTGTATTATTTGAATCGGTCTGCCGAGAATCCATGTATATATTTGAACTAATACCATCCTTATAACAGGTACATTTTCAACTTAAGTTTTTACTCCATTATGCACAGTTTGAGATAAATAAATTTTTGAAATATGGACACTGAAATTATTCTTGAGTCTTTCATTTATTTGGTTAACACTGATTATACATAACTCCTCCGGAAATATGCTGTGCTCAGCCAAGAAAGCAAAATACCTAAGACCTTGGTATTCTATTCCAGTAGCATGTGCTAATGTTAACAGCAACAAATATATGGCTGGATGACTAATTGAGTAAGTACTGGAAAAATTAAAATGCTCATGTCATTTCTAAAGTAGAAACTAGAGACATATATTGTAAATCCACCCCCTTTTTTTCTAAGCAGCATGAATGAGCATGATGGGGACTCATACTTAAACTGATTTATGCCACTTGTTGCCAGAAAGGAGTCAATTCTGAAAATTTTCGTGTAGCTTAGCAGATGGGGTATTGAGCCAAATCAGAACCAGGTTGGCTGGTTTTGTTTTCGTTTTCTTCACAGCACAATGGCCCTTTGGAAACGTGGTTATAGGGGGAAATGATGCTTCTTGTATCGGAATAATTGCAAACTAGACATGCAAAGTGCTCATCTGCTGGGTGGGTGTTTGGATTACTCCAGCCCTACTATTGTCTGAGAGGAAACAAGTGGTTTGCTTTCTTTGTTCCTTGACTTTATAAACTTTCTCCTCTACATTTTCCTGTTTAGGGGCGAGAGAAAGCGAAGAGCGTCTTGCAAAACTCCCCGACTTATCACGGCTATCATTATTATTATTATTTATTTTATTTTTTCCTCTCTCTCCCTCCACGAATTCCATTTCTTAAATTGGCAGCGCGGGTCCAAGCCTGTAGCCCCAAATCGGATAATCTCTGCAGCTGATAACAAGCAAAAGAGAAGCCAGGCAACAGCCATATTAAAGAAGAAAACAATCAACTCTGAGGTAGATATTTTACTTTGTCCGGTCTAATCACATTTGGAGATTATTATGCTTTTGATTTGTTAACCATGTTTTACTACAGTAGTACAGAGGGAGGGGGGAGGAGAAGAGGGTGGAGAAACAAGATTGGATTTGTTGTTTTCTTTTGCCCTAGGAAAGGTAAAGAAAGCCTCTAGTCCTCAGTGGGAGCGGAAAAGTTGGGGGAATTGCCAAGGTCTTTTGCATTAGCGATGTTTCTGCATCACAACCGACTCGCGCCTGGGCGCAGCCGGAGAATCCTGTAAGACCGACTCAGGGACTTATCTTCCTTATTTACTACTTACCTCGCTCATCGTCCCCCACCGAAGGGGACCGGGAACCAAGAGTCAGTCGGGCATTCTTAAGAGCGTGGGTTTGCTTCTCACAATTTCAAGGGCTTTTTGTGTCAACTTGCTAAAACTTTGGAGAAGTTGAAATCCGGCAGCGCCTTCCAACCTTGAGTGAATTACCGGCTGCAGCCATTAAGTTAGTTCATCAGTTGGTTTGCATCTTCTCGTTTTCCAAGAAAGTATTTCTTACTCGTGGTGTTGCTAATGTTAGTTCTGGGTTCAGCTAGGGATATCCTTATATTGTCTGTATTGTGATATCACGTGGATTACTTTATTTTCAGTGTATATTGGTTTTTACTTTATTCCTTTCCTGTCTTCATTTTTAGGATAATATTATACTGGGAAAGGAAAATTATTATGCCAATTCCAATTCTAAGCCAGGCATTTCCCCCCCTAATTAATGCAGAGACTCTAAAAGAATTTCCCCCGGCCTGGCCAGCCATTGTAATGCATATACGGATTATTCACGTGGTAATGAGCACTTTCGGCAGTTCTTGCTCACACATACGAATAAAAGAAACTTTGAATAAAGATCCAAATGATCTTGCTGGGGGATGGGGAGGAGATTCCTGGAATTTGAGCCAATCAACTATATGGAGTGTATATATTTGAAAAATAGAGATATATTAGAAATATATATTGGGGGTTAGAGTAATTGCACTGCACTAACCTCCCTTTAAAAAAAAAAGCCCACAGAATCAGTACAAAACAGCAACAGCTTTTTGGCAAAATTCTCAGGTTCAAATATTTTGCAAGAGGGAAGAGAGCAGTAGTTGGGGAAGTTAAACTAGTTTTGAAGGATTGTCACTGTTTGCATAAAACAAGAGAACTCCTATCCCTCCACATCTCCTAACCAAATAAAAGCCAAAATATATTATTTGTAAATATAAGCTATTTTGATAAACTGCATTTAAGAAAAATGATATGTTTCATTGTTCATTTTATTGGGTTAAGTGTTTCCCCTAGATATGTAGATTCATGGCTAGATTAACATTGAACATATATTATTTTAATTATAACATGATTTCCAAGAAGGGGGTAAACACTTCGACTTGCCCAGAGGTGGTCATTTCCTGGTGCTGAAGTTAGTTGTTGAGTGTTCAGTACCTTCCTTGGGATATTCTACTTACTAAAATCATTTAATTTCTAGTCTAAAGGGGTGAATTTAATGTTTTATTAATCTCTATAAACTGAAGAGAAATGTGCAGAAGGATGAGATTATAGTTTGTTCCCTCTGCTATTCCCCCTCACTCCCCTCCATACTTTAAAGAGCGTTAAAATATTTTGCTGAGCTGCAGTAGATTAGCAAGGTTTCTTGCCAATGCTGGGAAGCTGGTATTACAGACGGTCCCAGGGGAAAATGGCTCACATTAACCACTAAATGAATATTTGACAAGGGCTCATTCGGAAGTATTATTACTATAAACGTGTCCCTACTGGACTTTTCAAGGGTCAAAGAGCAATGCTTCAATTAATTATTTAGTCTGCTAGTAGATTTGGTTGTAATAGCTGTACTTATTTCTAGAACCAACACATTCTTACAGTAGGAAATCTCAGGAGAATCTTCTCCATCAGCAATGCCTTGTATTGAAATGCACACAGAGCCCTGGTATTCTAAAGCTGACTATTTCATAAAACCTTTTCTTGGCCTGGAGCAGGGGGTGGGGGCGAGGGAGTATATTCTCTTTTGCTATTTTATTTACTGTTTTTGGTTTAAAAGAAAAAAAAAAACCCCTCAAGAATATAAGTTATCTTAATTTCCACATGTCTAGTAAGGTCTTTTAAGGCCTTGGAATTTGGGAAGAGAGGGGAGGGGATTTACTTATAACCTTTGCCTTTTCTAAGTGGAGGTGTCACAGGATTTCAGAGACTTGGGCAGGGTCTGAATTTAGAAAGGGTACACATTACTATTTGCCAATAAAATTTGGGTTTTACAATGAAAGCTGAGTACTCTGAATTCTAGTAGTCTCAGTAAATTGGGGTACAAGATAGTTCCTCCTCCCCTCCTTCCCACCTATTGGTCTGAACACTTCCAGGTATAGTGGGGGGTGGGGACGATTTCCATTTCTGTGTGTCATATAAGTTCCTCCATGGTACTAGGTGAAATGGTAGGGGAATGATTCTGAGAATTAGATTCCTGAACAATAATATAAGGTGAATGAATAAGCGAAAAAGCTGCAAGGGGTGGGGGAACGGGATTTGGTAGTTACAAACCCAATTCATTCAGCTTTTCAGAACTTTTGTTGTGAGAGCTCCATTGACGGGTTTTGAGCTGCCAGTTTTCTCACATTAAAAAGAACTGATCAGCGCCTCAGGGGGACAAGAAATACTGCTTAACTGCATAGTGATGGGGTCTTCATTTAGAACCATTACAAGAAGAAAATTAAACAGTGCCTTTGTGTGCACATGGTTTACTTTTCAACTGCTAACAGTTTATAGCTAACTGCTCTGAGATTGAAGTTGGACTGTGGTTTGTCACCTGCTAGTTGGCACTGCTTATTTATTTATTTATTTGTGGTAATTGAAAGAGATTTTTATACCACCACTCTCCTTTATTTCTTGCTCTTGGAGAATTTTTCAAAACAGATCCTCATATTTGGCTTTGTGGAGTTTTCTTTGCCATGAACTTTAGCAAAGACTTGAGTTAACATTCTCTAGTACTCGCTCCACCCCCCATTATTGCCTTAAAATAATTTGCATCTCACTTTCTTTTATGCTGCCTTTTCTTTCAAAGCAAAGGCTACTTTTCAGGATGGCCACTAGTGAGGTTGGTGATGGG